AATTCGTTATCAGGCATTTTTGTGCCCCAATTAGATGGAGGGGCTGAACACTTCCTAAAAGGCATATTTAGCAGAATGTTTTGCCACATAGATTCCTCTTTCCACAACTCATTTAACTGTTGAGATGACATTGAGTATGAATTCATCCCTTGTTCCTAGAGAGAATATTGTCAAAAAGTCAAGTGTATGTATGAGAAGAAAGACCTCATTGTTGTAAACACCAGGACTTACTAAGACATTACCGCTGGAACTCTGGTTGGCACGCCGATCACGACTGAGCGAAGTCGCCTCCATTTTACTTTTGGAAAGTATTCTAATCTGCAAACGACAGGAATAGAGGTGACGTCGGGCTTCTTCACGGTTTTCGGGTACAGGTGTGGTTTAGGACCTCAATAACCTCAGTAGCTCGGTAAGCAGGTAAGCACGTCGCACGTCGGTAGCACATTCAATGTGATCACTTTTACCACCCTACGAACAACAAATATTCCTTCAAACAGTAAAGAGTTCTGCACCCACTGAAGTTGGTTTTGATAAAACATGGCTGAGAGTTTGGTAATTTCTTTTTCTTCGGAATTATTATGAAAAGATAACGACCACGCGTATGCGGACATTGAAGAAAGTGGCAATTGGCAAGAGTGCTGCTCAGACCTGGTCACTCTGCTGGAAGACGATTGTAGAGCGTTCCCCATATCCCAAGAGTCCGTGGTGTGGTGTGCGTTCTTCGAGTCTCTCTCTCCCTCGTGGTGTTCGGTCTGTGCGGTGCGGTGGTGTGGTGTGGTGATTTAGTGGTTTTACAATTCCTTGTATCTATCTGGCTTTTTCTATTGCGTTTTCTGCAAGTAAGTATGGTTTGTAACGGATGACTGGAGTTTTTCTATCGTGGTAATCTATCAGCCTCACCGTTCGCGTTCGGTTAGTTCCCGTACAAATCTCCATCCTCTCTCAGGACGTTGATAGGCCTTTCACTTTCATTTGGTACTGACCATTTTACCATTTTACTTTTTATATCAAGAGAAGTCTTAGCCGACATCTTTGAAATTGACGAGGCGGTTATATAATCGTAATGTATATGGATTGAAAATTTGAAATAACGAATACGGCGGTTTTTTTTCTTATGCCGTCCAATAACCTAACATCCCTGTTCCTGACTATTTCATGTAAATGCCTTAATAGATGCATACATCGGACTCGATTCATTCTTGATGAGGCTAGTGTAGTTTTGCGAGTTGTATTTTCAATATGTATGACTTAACCTCGATACTCTTTTTCCGCCATTCGTACAGCAAGCACCACGTTTTGTGTTCATCTTGTCATTCCCTGCTATGGTGGATTAGCTCTGTCCGACCTCTTAGACCCTCGCCGGGCCTGCTGTATTTGAATCTGACTCGTTCGGCGAGAACTCTGATTTGATATTGAGCATTTAGTTTTGTTGTACAGTTAATCTCTTTTGTATAGGCTTGGATGGCGGATGTGTTAGTCAGTGCTCGAGCTTATTTCAATGACTGGCCCGCCCGTAATTTCTTTCAATCAATTACATTTTCCTTTAAAATCTTTCTTTGTTTTCAGAATGTCATCACCGGAGGAAGTAAGGGAAATGAGGATGAAATGGATTAACCGTCTAAGTGGACCTCCCACGCCAATACAAGACGGCCCTGCTTTGTTTGCACCTCCAACGCCAGTACAAGACAGCCCTGCTTTGTCTGAATCTCCAACGCCAGTACCAGACGGCCCTGCTTTGTCTGAATCTCCAACGCCAGTACCA